ATATCTTTTCCACCTAATAAAAGTGGATAAATTGAACATGTTAGCAAAAATAAAATTTATATAAAATTAATCTTTATAGTCATATAAATAAATTAAAATATTTACCAGAAAGTGAATAATTGTTGTGAAATTAATCTAAAAATTGTAATTATACAAAATTAAATCTATGCATTGGATTTTTTTCATCGTCCCCAATCGCCCAAACAATAGTATTTTGGAAAATTGAATCCTTATTTTGTTGTTGCTGACAATGCGTGCGATACTGCTTCTTATTTGTAACGACTGAAAAGTATCTAATGGAGTAAACTTTTCCTTCAATCAATTTTGAACAAAATTGTAGAACAAAGTTAAATTTAATTGAGGCATGAACGTAATCACCCTGTAATTAAAAATAAAAAATTAAGTTAATTTTATGACTTAATTAAGCTACCTAAATCACAAAAAAAATTGTTTTAATCATAAAATTAATTGATAAAAACTAAAAGATTCATTAAAAGATTTAATAAATGTAAACGATTTATAAAGATATAATACCTCCTCATCCAATAGGATCATTAGGCGAGAAACTCGTACTTTGACATTCCAAAGATTTTGCTCGAGTATAATTCTCTGATTAAATTAGATCTAGATTTGCATGTAAAAACAAAATTCAGTAAATAAAACATAAACATATAATCATTAAGTATCCCAAATAAACACAATTTAAGCAATAATCACAAATATACATTTTAACATGGGTTTTAAAAATTTAAAATTAGGCTAAGTATTTCCCAGCCATTGATGGCCTAATTAAAATGACACAAAATTAATGACGCAAAATTTGCTTGGTTTGGTTTTGTATTGATACGAAATTTTGTTGGTGTCATATGATGCATCAATTTATAATGGTAAATATCACAAATTTTAATTTAATTATAATTAAGGAATAATTTTTATTTCTTATCATAACCACTATCAAAATTTATCTTATAATAGTAAGTATATAAATCCTATATCTAAAGATGATTATTTTAAGAGATAATTTTTAGTTTATTAAATAAATTAAATCCTAATAAATAAATATTCGTTGTTTTTACTTACGTGGCAAAATTCTTAAATCTCATTCGTCACTTTTGTTTAGGTGGCAAACGAATTTTTTAATTCCAAAATTAAATAAAATAGAAATCTAATTTTTAATTGGTCGAAAATATACCTTTGCTTATGTGGCGCGCCGAATGCTCTTGAAAAATTTCTTTATATATATTAGATTAATTAAAACATTATGTATAATTATTTATTAAATCATAATATTAATATTAATACTTAAAACAGTTTAATAAAGAAGAAGAAGAAGAGAAGAAAATTCGAGAAGAAGAAAGAAGGAAAAGTGGTGCGACAGTGGCAGTAGCTCGGCTGGCATGGCTGCTGGTCGAGGCTGGAGTCAGACGGTGGTGCAAGGGTGGTGTTAGTGGTGGTAGGAGCAAGAACCGATAGAGAAAGGCAGAGAGAAAACTGTGGGACATTAGGGGGAAAAAAGACAATTTTGTGAGGTTTTTGTGTGAATTTTCGCATTGGAATGAGGAAGTATTTATAAATTTATGAATGTAGAAGAAATACGGTAATTTTAAGTTATATATGGAATTACTTGGAGAGTTAAGCTTGATTTTAAGGACAATGTGAACTCGATGACCAAGTAAATAAGGAAATATGGAAGGCAAAAATATATAGTTGCTTATGGAATAATTTAGAGGCAAATAAAATCAAAATATCTATGATCATATATTTGATAGATTTGAGTAGGGAAATTTTGGAAAATATGAAGATTTAAGTAAAATACTTGTCTACAAAATCTAACCAATAATCTAATTAATTATATTTAAATTGGCCGAAATTATTCAGACAATTATGCTCTAATATTTCCGGACCTCTTAGCTAATTAATTAGGTATTATTTAGTTTTAAGAAAATCCGAAAGTTACTTAATTAAATTTTTGATTTTTAATAAAATATTAATATAGGAAAATCTTAATTATTCTAACCTAATTAATTTAATAAAAATCAGATTTTCAATGCTAGATAATTTGAAATCTTAGGCTAATTAGGCCTTGTTCACTTCACCTTATTTTTGTTGAATTGAAATTATTTTTACTGAATTGAAATTATTTTTGCTGAACTTAGATTAATTTTACAGAACTGAAATTAATTTTACTGAACATAAATTATTTTTGCTGAACTGTAATTAATTTTACGAAACTGAAATTATTTTTACTGAACTGAAATTATTTTTATTGATTTTCTATTATATTTCTTCTTTATAGTTACTGAATTTTACTGAACTGAACTTTTTTTTACTAAACTGAAATTATTTTTACTGAACTAAAATTATTTTTACTGAATTGAAATTATTTTTACTGAACTAAAATTATTTTTATAGAACTAAAGTTATTTTTACTACTTTTTTAAAGTTAAATGAATAGGGCCTTAGCTAGGAAAAATTCAGACCATGTAACAAATATAGGAATTGTGTTTTTAATAACTAAAATATCTGAAAATATATATATTTTTTGGTTTTTATTAAAAAAATGGATATTTAATCTTATCCAAAATAATAATTGAGTTTGAAAATGGTTTTGGCAGCAAAATTCAAATATCATTTTGGCTCCAAAATTCAAATAATTAAATAAATTACCAAAATTCCCTTTCTAGAAATTAATTAATAATTAATTAATTAGAACTAAAAAATATGGGGTGTTATACTATTTTTGGTTATAAGAACCACACCTTTACTCCCAGGCTCTCGCAACCACTGTATTATCCCTATCACTTTTGCTGCACCTCAATTTATTTCAAATAAAAATTAAAAAATTAACCCTTCCCCAATGTGGCAAACACTACAAAAATCTGGCATTTTTAAACTACTAACGGTCTATATGGTCATTGACAATTTTCTAACCACGGATGAAGAAATAGACGGCTAAATCGTAGGTTACAACAAGCCCAATTGGTTGTGGTCGTCGTTGTCTGCTTAGAATTTTGTTTTTAATAAAAAATATAGTACCAAAAACAATCAAAGTTTTATTGGGAAATTCTGTTAGGTAACATGGAATGTTTTATTTTTCTCTTTGATAAAAAATAAAAAAATTAAAAATTAAAAAAAGAAAACAATTATATTTGGTAAACTTGTATTATTGATATTAAGTAACACATAGTATTAATGATGATTTTTTAATGAATTTTTAACTATAGTTAGATATTTTTGTAATTTTAATAATTTAAATAAAAAGATAAAAATAATTTAAATTTTTTTAAGCCATTTATAAAAAAAAAAAAAAAAAATAAATAAACAAACAAACAAACAAAAACCACCCCTCCCCACCAGCCCACCCCCTATGCCACTACCACCAGGGCCGACGCCGGATCCCATCTCCCTCCCCTATGCCGGCGTCCGGCCTTTTCCTCCGTTGGCTTTTTTTATTTTATTTTAATTTTTATATTTATGATTCTGAGATGTTTATATTGAATCTTTGGTGAATTTGTGATTGATTATTAGAAGAAATTTTCAGATTTTGATTTAGAGTAAAAAGTCCAAATACATGTATATATTATTGCTAAATAATCGACTTAAAATGGTCTTTGAGAATATCAAAGCTTATCAATGGTGAATTGGATACAATACGAATTACTAATAATTTCTTGTAATCAATAAACACAAGATATATTACTTTAAAAATTAATTCCTTAAATTATAATGTGAATTACTAATGTTTTAGTTTGACGTGATTAACAAACCATAGGCATAAGGATGTAGGTTAATGATGATTTGAAGTGAAGTTGAAAGATTAAGGTTGAAGGAGCGTGAATGTTGATAATGGAATTGATTTTAATAAACTTTGGCAATTAAGATGAGATTTGGATGAAGAATAAAGGATGAAGGTTGAAAATGAAGTATGTCGCCATGAAAGAAGGTTGAAGCTATTAGTATGAGTATGAAGCTATCAAAATGATTTTGGATGAAATCATACGACAATTATTCACTTGATTTTTAAAATCAAGATAATACTATATATTGTTAAATATGGAAGAGAAATAAAGAGAGATAGGAGAGAATTGGGGAGAGAATAAATCAGTATCACTTATTCCATAGAGTGAGGGATATTTATACATACAATATAACAAGGGTTTGATTAGATAATAATAATAAACCCTAGATTTTGAATATTCCGGAATAATAAAAAGAAGATAATGGATATCCATACAATATTTCATAACACTCCCCTGGGATGTCCATTATCGAAGAGTGTGCCTCGTTAAAACCTTATTAGGAAAAACCTTGTGGGATAAAAACCTAATGAAGGAAAAAGAGTACAACATTCTTCGTAATACGCTCGAGATGCCACCTCATTAAAAACCTTACCAGGAAAACCCAATGTGGGACAAAACCATGGTCAAGGAAACAAGAGTGCAGCGCATATTTTCACCCCCTGATGAATACATAACTTGAGATCTTCTAGTGTCGCAACAATGAATCTAATATGGTTGGATATATTCTAATTACACTAGACGAAAAAGGTAAAAAGACATCGGTTCAAACCCCCCCTTTGGCACCGGTTTTGAACCGTTAGGTATTTGAGGGATGCCAAATCCATGAAAATTTGGCACCAATTCAAAACCGGTGCCAACTAAAGCATTTATCACCGGTTAACCGGTGCTAACTACATGATTTGGCACCGGTTAACCAGTGCCAACTACATGCTTTGGCACCGGTTAACCAGTGCCAACTACCATGGCGCCAATTTATTTTTTTTAAATTTTCAATACTATTGGCACCGGTTCTGAGTGAGAACCGGTGCGAAAAATTCTACTTTAGGCACCGGTTCTTCCTTTGAACCGGTGCCTAGAGTCTAAAAAAAATTTTAAAAAAACTTTTGGCACCGGTTCTGGTCCAAACCGGTGCCAAAAATACCCAAAAAAAATAAAAAAAAAAAATTTGCATTTTTTTCACTTAAATTGATATAAAAACATTAACATATATATAAAGTTACATTTTTTCATTAAAAAAGGCTAAAATATTACAATTTTCATCCAAAAAAAATTTTGAGGTGTCCAAAGAAAAAATTAGGTCCTTTAGAGTGGTCATGCTCGGCCACCAATCTTGGTCCTTCTTATCACCGTGGCCTACTTCTCTGATTTCCTTCCACCAGAGCTGTTCGATTAAAGCAAAACATTGTAGGACTCAATCGAACAGAGGCGAGGACTTGCATGTCCAAGAAAAAACCGGCATCTTCAACCAATGATTTGTTAAATATGCATAAAATACAATAAGAAGAATGATTCAAGTATCAGCCAGAACACTGCAAAAGATCCAAAACTAAGCTTAATTATATGGGACAGAGAAAGTATTCATTACAAAAAAGTGCATCAGCAATTTAGTCCTAAGTACGATTTTAAAATAAGCAATTAGGCCTAAAATATGTTCTGTTTTCAGTATCCATTAAGAAAGGACCAGAGGATCTCATGGCCTCATGCGAATATGGAATTATACATAAACATTGTTCAATGTAGTTAATTAAAAGCGGCTTTAGCATCTGCCCCTGTTGACAGAATCGACCACCAATAGAATTCATAGTTCCAGTATTTCAGCCACATAAAAATACACATTAGTGCAACACTAATCATAACACCCCTCTTGGCCATCCAAAGATACAAAATAACTCTTACACCGTTTGGATAATTTGGAAGGTCATTACACAGTTACTCCACTTAGAAAATTATTTATACTCAACCTGTTTCTGAATAATAAGCCACCTTTCTTATTTAGATCATCCCAAAATTATAGGTTACTCTCTAAGTTTATTAAGTTAAATCTTATGTTTCCGTATATTAAACTTAACAATCCCATTCACTCAGAATTTCACAGAAAAACTAATATAAATCGAAGCTTTACTAAATCTTCATGTTTGTCTGGAGGGGTATTGTTGTGTAATTTTTCATGAATTCCATATTGCTACTACTACAAGTACTACCTTCTCACGTCAAGGAAAGTCTCAGCAGGCCAGCTACAATAAACAAGTTGCAAAACTTTTATTGTTAGACTTGAAAACCTAATTACAGCCAATCAAGAGAAAGATGTAAAAAAAATAAGTCAAACCAACCTCTATCTAGTATCCAGCTGCACAAATTAAACAAATAATCACACGACTACCATAATGACACCCAATTAATTAGATTGTGGAACGTACCGTAAGGGAATTCTTTATTCCGTCTCCACTGGATCTCTATGTGATCTCCAGGGTGTAGATCATTTAAGCAATCAGATGCATGAAGATCATGTGGTGGAGTATCCACTGGTGCTGCCCTTAGCCTTTCCCATTAAATACCACTCCCTATCGCCACTGCCCTTCTCCCATGGGGCGGATATCTGCAACCATAAGTTCGTTTAAACACACATAATTCGACCATAAAATATGTGTATGGTGTTCTTTAAATTTTCATGTACGTGTATGACTCCATTAATATAATATATGATGTTCTTCAAATTTTCCTTGTAAATGCATAATTCCATTGATCAAATGTATGTTGTCCTTCGATTTTTCCATGTACAACTTGATTAATTAAAAAGTTCTCCAAATCTTCCATGTACATATATACCTAGAAGTTTTTTTTGCCTTCCATTAATGAAATGTAGTTTTTATATGGAAGAATATCTAGAATTCGAAGCTTGGATTGAATTCCTTACCTTGCCTGGAATGTGTCTATTTGGGGATCATAGCTAAGCTCAGCATCATAGCAGGACAACATAAAACAACATGACCATTCTGGCAAAACAATAGTAAAACAGAACTTTCTTCAGTTTCTAAAGAGGAAAAATGACATATTGATCATAAAAGAAACGTCAAGCACATATTCAGGATGAATGATTGTGATCAATATACCTCACGGTTGTAAACTTGGGCAGGGAACCAGAATTTGCCACTTTCAAGAGCCAAAAACCAGGACATAACAGTATCAACCAGAGGAGAAGCAGAATCCTTATTATTAGACTTATCAAATTTTGATGCAAACCATGTCAAAGGCCATGCATACCAAATATATTTCATAAAGCCTTGTGATTTTTTCCCAGCAGAAACACTCGAATTTCGTCTAGAGGCAATAAACCATTGCCATTCGCGGGAAGCTGCAGAACCTAAAACCCTCCCCCATTTATGCTTCATGTGTCTATCCCAAAGGTGATCACTGATGCATCTCTCCCTCAATGAGCTACAAACAGCAGCCATACTACACAACCCGGCAGGCAAAAGCTTCTCAAGAATACAATCCAATGCTAGTTCAGGCAAATCCAAGACTGATAATTGCTCATTTTCATGAACATTCTCAATTTTAGAGCTAAAAGTGCCCTGTTTTATTGCCATAATAATAGATGAAAATGCAAATCCAAGACTGATAATTGCTCATTTTCATGAACATTCTCAAATTTAGAGCTAATCAAACAAAGAAAATTGTTGGAGTAAGAAAGAGCATAATGCTTGACAGTAATGAGAAACCTTTAGTGTCACTGTTAGTTACTACAAGTCATAAGACTAAATATTTGTACCTGGAAAAATTACAGATAGGCATGCAGAGGAAGTATTTCCTTTTCTGTAATCATACAATGTTCCCCTGTATGCATCGATCAAACTACCAGCAAAAAATGGTCACACAGAAAATGCTTACTAAAGGAGTAATAATTACCTAATCTCACAAAAGAAGCTGCACGAATAAGAAAAATTTATGTTACTAGCTAGGAAACTAAAGTTCAAGAAATTACAATAAAAATTTAAAAGATCAACTAAATTCAGCTGTATGAACCTAGCCAGATACTTACTTCAGAGATGGAATTCTCCCTTTGCAAGCAGCAAAAACCATGCATTTCAAAGACAGCAAAAGTATATATGAGCTGCAAAGTTGGTTTCTCATTACTACAGTCATCAAGTATATGAATCAAATCCAGTTCAATCTAACTTCATACTTCCCTAAGATCCTCGACTTCCATTCTCATTGTAGCTGGGTTAGGTGGCATCATAGTTTCATTCATCAATACTGAAGGTTCAATCTTGGATAAGCCATAATTTAACCAAAATGAGGTGTTCAAATCAGACGTGGATTGAGTACCAGACCTATTAGTACTACCTTCACGAGGTAATGGGGTAAGAGTAGAATGGCTGTCAAATCTATTCTTATTGCAAATTCTATCTTCAACAGTCTCGTAAAAATCTACAGTTCGGACTTCTGGTGCCAGAGAACACCAGCAGCAAAAGAGCCACTGAACACAATCAGCAACATTTGATTTTCCAAAACACATGTTATTTGGTGGCAGGTTGAATCGTTTTCTGATTTGAATACGCCAAAATCCTCCATAGAGCAACCCAAAAACACAAAGTGCAATACCAGTAATGCCCAAAATGCCTCTTACTGTTTCATTATCAATGTTGGCAGCAGCCAAGTTAAAGATCCAAAAAGGGGCCATGCAGAAAAGTAGAAATGTTGCTATGTGAACATACATATTCCCAAAACCTAGCCTTTCCAAATTCCAACCAAAAACACAAAAGCAGCAGAAAACTAAGAGATATGCCACAAAAAAATCTTCCCATAAGCTAAACAGACTAGTAGATTAATTATGTGATTTTGGTAAAATCCAGCAGGGGTTTTATTTTCATCCAAAAACTTTTCAAACTGTGTTACCTCAACGGACAAACAGGAGCAAATCACAATGAGAAGCTGTACGATGAAAGTGAGTCCCTTCATCATATGGATTATCCTAGTGTAACTATTTACGGCCAAGCTAAGGGACTCAACGCATTGGTTTGCTATATAGGGGTCAGTTAAAAAGGGACATAGTCAAGGAGTATATTCCAAGCAACATTAATCAAGGGACATAATCAAGGAACTCAGGCCACACACCAACATCAATAGCAACAACAACATATCACAATCATACATCCCCTGGCCAGCAACAGATCACAGTTGCTGGCAACCATTTATCAACAAGCAACACACAATCCTCCATCAACAAACACTTGATAAATTACCAGGGGGTTACGGGTTGTTATGCCACTACTGCAGAAGTTTAGACGACTAATGATGTTGTCACAAACTTCAGCACATTCAATATATAAATAAACAGAACTAGCCAGTCATATAAACAAAAATTCACCAAATATCTTCATATAATTAATAATAGGAACACATACTATCATGCTTCTGCTGCAGAAGTTTCAATCGATCAATCAAGTGGGTCCCTACATCAGAACAGTGTTGTTGACGTTTTTCCTTGTCAATTACCCTCAGGACTGCAAGACCACCTGCAGAGCACACTGGGTTTCCTCCATAAGTATTAAATTGAATTTTCTGAGCCAATACGCTAGCAATCTCAGGTGTGGTCACCACTGCTCCAAGGGGTAGGCCATTGCCAATTCCCTGCAACATTATGTTAAGTTCTGGTCAGATAAAAGACATTATGTTAAATCAAAATAAGTACTACAGCTAGAGTATACTAAAAGACCTTTGCCATTGTCACTATATCAGGAATAACGCCTTGTGTTTCAAAGCCCCAATACTTGCTCCCTGTTCTACCAAATCCAGTTTGAACTTCATCAGCAATGCAGACTCCTCCAGCCTTACGTACCATATCATACACCAGCTTCAAATATCCAGGAGCTAATTCAACTGCTCCTCCAACACCCTAAACATAAATAACAAGTACCATTGAGTTACATTAACTAAAAGCAAGTAACTTTTGAAGCACGAAACAAAGAGAAAGGTAAACCTGAATTGTTTCAGCAATGAAGCCTGCTATTTTACCAGATGTGCCATAATCAATGTAATCTGAACTGTCAAAATCGACCACCGCAGCCACCCTGACCACCCAAGAAACCCCTAAACCCCCCCCCCCCCCCACGAAACTGCCTCCCCATTGACTACCTAAAAGAAAGTTAAATCCAGAAAAACCCCAAAGTGAAACCCAAACCCAGAGAACCCAAATCGAAATTAAGAGAGTTGCAGTAGTAAACTAACCCTATTATACAAGAACTAACCCTAAATTCGAAAATCAAATAAACGACAAACCCTAGATTGCGAAAACAAAAGGACAAAAACAAATTTTTACCTCGAAGCTGCTTCAATGAAGGTGAGAAAGCTCGAATCCGCTTCAATGGAGAATTAACAGTACGCGTAGTGGAGGAGTGATATGGACAGAGCTCAGAATGCGCTTCAATGGAGAACTACGAGCACGCGTAATGGAGGAGAAATATGGAGAAAGGTGGTCGAAGCTAAGAGAAGGGCGAAAACGAGAGTTAGGGATAACGAAAATGAAATGCAGGGGGGAAAGAAAGAAAGAAGAAGAAGCAGAGAAATGAATACCCCGATTTTTATTTTTTTTTATTTCGCCCGGTTTTTTATTTCAAAAATGGCACCGGTTTAAACCGGTGCTAAATACCATAGTTGGAACCGGTTTAAGGCGAACCGGTGCCAACTCTATTCTACTCTTTTTTTTTATTTTATTATTATTTTTTTAAATTGGCACCGGTTTGAACCGGTGCTAATTATATGATTTGGCACCGGTTTGGTTGGAACCGGTGCCAACTCTTAATTTTTCAATCCCGCCCATTTCTTTTGGCACCGGTTTTCAAGAACCGGTGCTAAAGGGGGGGGTGCCTATTTCATTTTTTCTACTAGTGTAATATGTAGTAAAATATCATACGTTGGTCTTCAATCCTCCTAAACTGAAATTGCATCTTCAAGTCTTCAAGTGAACATGTGAAGTGTCTTCATTTCACCATACATGTATATATCTCTATATCATTCCCAACCTCTGTTTAAATAAAGTTACTTTAAAAGTTAAACTTATGCGGTTAGGCCTTCTTCTGGAGGTCGTGAATAATAGAAATCGATGATCATTATTTGATCAAACATTCATTAATAATAATTTGATGACAAAAGTTGATATTATTAATGTCGTTCTTCAATCTCATATGAATTATGATATAACACATGTAATTATATACGCTAATCATGGTTCTTGACCATAAGAAAACATTCTCACGCATACGTATTCTATTGATATTTTTTAGACGTTTCATAATTGACATGACAACTTTCTTGCAAATACAAAAAGCAAATCTCACTAACTTTCATATGCTCAAACTTCAGGTTGAAATGTCAATGATGTAGTCACATAGACTTTTCAAGAGTTTGATAATTATTGCAATATTCAAGATGTAAAATTTGTAGGGTTATAAATACGTTGCATATAAGTTCTTTGGGAACTTTTCTTACATGATTCATAAATAATATTATATCAACGTCATATATAATTTCATCATAATTATAAGCCCATTGGAATAAAAATACGTCTTTCTAATTTTCCATCAAAGTTGTAAATATGCCTAACTATACTTTGAATGAACATTCACATACACCATAATTATTGTATAGAAACTAATGCATGCAATATGAGATGTATAAAACATGATAACATATTAAGCAAAATATACAATAAGTAATGCATCTAACAACTACTGACATATGCAATGAACAATCCGTTAACCTATGACTCATACATGCATATAAATATACATAGGACTCAAAATAATGCAAGACACTGTACAGTGTGGATTTAAAAATCCATATTTCATTGGACTTCTGGTCTATGATAAACTTATGATCATTATCATTATGTCGACATCAAAATGGACATATATTTCAGATCCCTTATTCACTAGTCCACTCTATTATGCATATGCATATTATTCATCGGTTCCATTGTGTACCGGTATCATAAAATTCCTTTAACATACATTTCACATGTTATTTTACTATGATATCTAAACGCATTTCTTATTGGTACCATCATAACTTTCTTACATCATAGGCCATCTATTGTAATAATTCAGATATCTATACCACTTTTAGGGTATTTCATACACTATGGTATTTATATACTATTACGCTATTAGTGTTAACTGCACTATCTTACCATATATCATATCTATTAGACATATATTTACTTTGGAACCGATCATACAACCTACACTTCAGGTGTAGTGATTCAAGTATAATTGGCAAGATTTTATCTCAATGTATACACATAATATGACCAAAATGTATCTTCAACGCTATGCAACATGAGTCATAACTAAATACAAATCAAATCATAAATGTGCAACATATCTTGATAATATATAGACAAAAGTTGGCATATAACTTTTCAAACTACCTTTATAGGGATCATTAATTATATATTTTCCGATTTTTCCAACTGTTGCTAATTCTTCTCCCCCTAAGTTGGTAAAATATCTCATTTATAGGGGCGTTTAATTCTATACCAACTTAGTATACAAATTTGCATTAAAATTCCTTTCATCCAGAGGATCACAATCAAAATAATTATCTCAGAAGATTTATATTAAACAAATTTTATCTCTTCGAGAGAACAATTTAAATGAAGAATCATTTCTTCATTAACTTTACGTTGCATGTGTATTTATTGTTACACTTTCCATAATATGTTCCCTTCTAGAAATCATTGTCAATGGGGAGACATGTGTTGTGTAGCTGTACGTTTTTCCTTCTTTTCCAATTTCTTATATGCTGACATATAATAGCCCCAATCAAAAGAATTTTTATACAAGCTTAAATCACTTGCTTGGAATTCTGCTAGGCAGTGATTTTCGAGATCTTTAAAGATTTAAATAGTGTATTTGGTGAGATCCTGGTCACCTAATAGTTGACAATAACATATTCATTTGTTATTCTGGTGAACTTTTGGTCACCCATTACTCTTTCGTGAAAAAAAAAATCAAAACCTATTAACTCTTGACATTTTCATCAATACAAATTATTATAAATCACTATTCAATAATAGCTCAATCTCAATGTTATGTCTTGCCATTTAATTCATTTCATACATTTAACATGAGAGAGCGTCAGCACATTATTTCTTTCATATCAAGTGAAAGTTCAAGTTTCCATGACGGGTAATTATTAAACCCGGATGGCCTAATTTTAATTATCACATCCAGTCACTTCTCTAAATTTGAACTCTGATCAGTTTTCCAACACTAGTGATCACTTTATTAAAATTACTTTATGCATGGTCATGAATATGATGTGATATTAGAACACCAACATGTGTTTCTTTATACAATTGGCAAGACAATCAACTAATATTTTGTCCAATAGTTACTCATACTCTGCTGCAGTTTTGACTATAATCTTGATACATGTTAATCTTGTTGGACATTTCATGCTCTTTTAGAGTCTTATATATAATCATAGAACATATAAATTTTACTAAAAATGATTTCTTCTTGAAATGTAACGGGATTTATCACTTCCTCAAATTTTTCATTGTCAATAGTGACTTCTTTCCTTTTCAAAGATACTTAATTATCTTTAGAACTTATTGATCTATCACGCTTCAGGCGTGCTATAGGTTCATTAGCAATTGATATTGTCCTTATGGGGCATCAATTTTAATTGGAGCATTTACAACTAGTATATGATCAATGACATTTATATATATATATATCCATCTTTAGGATGGTATCATTTCTAAATATTTAATTAACATGTGGCCACTTCTATTAAACAAATCATTGATATTTAAGTTGATGTATGTACCAAACTGACCATCAATATATTTTATTATTTATGTGCAAGGATTACATAATTTAATGGAATACATACAATCTCCCCCTAATCCTTGCATATGGGGCATGAAATGAATCCAACAACCTTTAAATCTCTTCCACCTTTTGAGGCATAAATTCGATCTTTTAGCAGTGCATGTATCAAGCATAATACAATTATTCTAATAAACTCTTACTCGTAACTCTTGCCCAATTATATTAATCTATATATTGAAATTTCTTAAAACTATGGGCATAATAAATACATTTTTCAAGCAAGTTGCTCACAATGTCATGTTTAATTACTTGAACTCATAACATTATTTCTCGGTCAAATAGATGATATATATATATATATATATATATATATATATATATATATATATATATATATATATATATATATATATATATATATAATCATGTTTGCAATTTTTTTGTGAACTTTTTAACGAATTATAATCAAGAAAATATCATGCAAACATGCTTGTTACCTTTTTAACCATTCCAATTCTCACCCAGAGTTCAATAACAGCTTGAATACTATTCAGTATCTTTTGTATAATTATTCTCATGACATTGTGTTTTTAAAATCACATTAGCATTATGACTTAAACATTATTTAAGAAACATAATTTAAAAACTAATAGAATTTTCTAAGTCATATATATATATCTTCATATTATTTTTGAGGGTTTATGATCCTTTATAGATTTTAAGGAACTTCAGGTCCATATGTATTTCACATTCAATTTATTTATCATTTCTATAACCAACTTCATGCAGGCAAATAATATCATATTATCAAATTCAATCACACATCAATCAATGTTTCAACAAGTACTACAAGTATAACGTATCAAAATATTCTAGCTCATTACTTTAACCAAATCACTACGGTAACTTGATCACTAATAATTCAACCGCCAAGAAGCAACTACATGACCAATTTCAACAAAATCACCAATAATAATAATAATAATAAGCAACCCTTTGGCAAATTGCAACAACCAACTTGATCACAAATATTTTAACCGCGAATAAGCAAGTCGAAATAAAGAAAATTACAACAATAAATCAACTGATGATGAAAAAATTAAACCTCAAACTTCAATCGAATACTACCCAACCATTCAATCATCCGATCACAGACACTGAAACATCCAAATTAGTCACTAAAAAGCACTGAGTAGTAATAATATTCCTAAAAAATAATCACTAATCAATAATTAATTAATAAAAAGTCAAACTACTTCATAATCAAATTTGTTGTATAGAAATTTAACTTTTACCCAAACTTATATTTTTGGTTAATAACGGGTTTGCGGATTGTAAAAGTACAAGTATATTACGATCGTCGCTAAGGACTTCAATGT